TAAATTATATTAAAAGACATATAAAAGTTCTCAAAAAAAGTTATTTATTTCACTAAATATTATACTCTAATACATTGTGTATATATTACTAGTTTACAAAAATGCAGAAAGTCAAGGTTACTCCTATTGCACAAATAAAGAATGGAAATAGTATTGTGGTGGTTCTTGTTAGTTTTTATTAACAGATCCAAGTACTTGCAGACAGTTTGCTCAATACTACAACTATCTTATTCATGTGAATCTAAATGCAGATTACCTATCAGTAACTCAGGAAATCAGCAGCAACCTAAAATCTATTTGGGCAACAGTAAACTCAAGTTTACCTCTTATAACTGAAAAATCTATTAATAAAAATTTATAGATCTTTTTGTAGTTGTTAAGGATATTAATCCCAAACACGGCAAAGCAAGTGCCAAAAAAATCTTGATTTTAATTTGGACAAGCTCTTTAATTTTTTTGTGTGTTCCTGGTTATTTGATGTCTATCCTTGTAGAAAAATCTTGATGTTAATTTGGACAAGCTCTTTAATATTTCTGTGTGTTCCTGGTGTTATTTGATGTCTATCCTTATAGAAACAAATAAGTGTTATAGTGGTAATAAAATACAAATAAAGTTTTGTTTGATCATCTTTAAAATCCATTAGTAGATGGCTATATTCCAGAAGAAATGCTAACAGATCTTAATTCCGATCAAAGACTATTATTAGAATATTGTATAGGTATAGGTTCCAGTAAAGTTTCTGAAAAATGGACAGCTTATAAAATTGGACTGCTCAAATTTGTCTACTATGCTGTTCAAGTTTATGCTACAGCATGGTTCGAAATAAAAATTTCCAGGACTCTCTTCACATTATTTTTTCCTTGTCTCCTTTTTGATGATGTTATCAAGATACAAAACTTTGGCTTTCAAACCTTACTGACTGAAGGCAAAGGTATGTTTTTATAGTATAGTAAAAATTTAAAAAAAAAAACAAACATATATTATGTGTGGTAATCAGCTTCAGTTTATATTTATAGAATAAACTAAGAAAGTTTGGAAATAAATTTAAAGAGAGTTCAGGAAATTTTAATCACTGGTTGATTGACCTCAGTGTTGCAGAAGTTGTAGAACCCCCTACAACTCAAAATTTTTCAATTAAAGAAATCCAACATATAATAGACAATAACGTTAAACCAGAAATTTCTGACTTCCCATCTCACTCCCAGAGTGTAGACCGAGTGGTAAAACTAGTATCAGAAGCATCCCAATATGTTTATGGGTTTGAAAGTTGACACAGTCACATTTTGACCAAGCTAATAAGCAGAAAGATACTTATGTAAATTTTAAAATATATGCTTATTAGCATATATTTTAAATTCTTATGATCATATTTTTTAATTAATTGATTGTTTTACTTAAAAATATATTCCAAATCAGAATGTTTTAAATTGTGAAATAAATGCTTATTTTGATTTTGATATTTGCATTTAAATGTATTTAAGCATAAAAGTTTTGCTTTGAAATCTTCAGTTGCTAAATTAGTTATTGGATTTAAGTTTAAATATTAAAAAAACTATTACAAATGTAAAAAAATTATTATGTAAATTAAAATCATTCAGTGATGTACGTATCATTTTTTTAAATTTGGTAAATATTATCATAATTTAAAACAAAAACTTCACAAATTGCTCTTTTTAAGGTGCTTTTGGTTTAACTGCAAAATAAAATTAAATTTAATCTACAAGAAATTTAAATTCAATCTACAAGAAATTTAAATTCAATCTACAAGAAATTTAAATTCAATCTACAAGAAATTTAAATTCAATCTACAAGAAATTTAAATTCAATCTACAAGAAATTTTTCATCAAAGATCTTTTGAGAGTAATCCTATTTCAACTGCCTCCAAAGTATTCACCAGACATTGCTTTATCTGATTACCCATTGTTTTAATTGATGATACATGCTCTGCCTGAGCAGCGAATTTCTTCTTATAATGAAACTAAAAATGGGTCAATGACTAGATTGCCTCAAAAGACCAAGACTTTATCCAGTGTGGAATCTGCATGATACATTACAAACAGGTATCGTTGCTGCGAATATGCAATGTAGATTGTAGCTGCAAATCGACATTATTTTAATTGATCTGAGTCTGATAGTCTTCTCAAAATAAACTGTTGGTTTTTGTTTTTTTTAAATTTGCATTTTCAATGCATACCCCCAATACTAATCCATACTTTAGTGAGCAGTCTATTTCATACTGAAAAAGGGGGCTGATGAAGGCTTCAGTACACACATTAAATGACTAAATAGTTAGGGCATGCAAGGAGTACCACTACAAGGATTGAGGATTTGGGTTGGGCAGCAATCTTTTTTTTTATATATATATTTTTTGTTTTTTCTTTTTTTTTCCAAAAAAATTGCATAGAAAAAAGTGAGCAAAAAAAGTAAACAAATGTATTGTAGAATCTCAAATCTGTCCTTGTATGGAATACTGTCGCTATATCTCGGGCAGATCTTCCAATGATGCTCTTTTTCTAATAGGCAAGGTGCAAAAATGCATTGTAAACATAGTTGGACCTGCTCTTGCAGCCAACCTCCATACATTATCTCATTGTTGTAATGTCGCTTCTCTTTCTCTTTTCTATAAATACTATAATGGGTGCTTCTCTTAAGAGCTAGTGTCTCTAATGCCATCTACTAAAATTTATTCTTGTGATACTTGTCATTTAATTAATTCTCATCCTTTTACTGTGACTGTTCCTAAGTGCTCCAAAAATTATTATTCGTCAAGGCTTGCTAAGGCTTTTACTGTGACTGTTCCTAAGTGCTCCAAAAATTATTATTCGTCAAGGCTTGCAGCCTTGTTGAAAGTGAAGATGTTGAAAAAGATTAATGATAAATAAGGGTATTCACATTTAGTAATTTACATTAAAGTTTTATTTGTAAACATAACTTTGTTTTACTCTCCTACTGCAAATTTAAAGTTATTTAAAAAATATTTGGTTTTAATCAACTTTTTTTTTAAAGGATTTAAACTATTGGTTTAAAATGATCAAGTTTGCATATTAAACAACTTTGCATCCTTAAACATTCTTAGTGTAAATGAGTTTAATTTTGTTTCTTAAATAATTGTTATAAAGTATGAATTATAAAAAACTTCTTTTTATCTCAAAAGCAAACACAACATGAAATATTACATATATAATTTTAATATAACAATAATGTAAGATCTAGTTTTTAAAAAGTTTATTAAAACCCGTTTTTAAAATAACTAACTAGTTTTATTGTAAACTAACATTTAAAAATTTTAAAAACCTGTTTTTAGTTTGTAATCACTTTTTTGCAGAAAGCAATTAGATCATTTAATTTGTTCTGTGTATTTTTAAGAATACAATGTAAATTTTTATATTTTTATGTGCCTAAGAGAATAGAGTGTAATTAGGGTTTGCAAAAACCTGGAAAATTTCTATTCCCGGGATTTGGGGTTGTATAATACGGAAATCCAGGCATTCTGTTATGCTTTAAAACTGAAAGAAAAGCCACAATTTAAGTAAGCATTTTGCAGTAAAATGAATAAAACTTGTACATAAAGTTATTTATTTTGTTTTTAGAAATTATGCTTGCATAAAGCTCAAACTATTTAAACTATTATCACTTAAACGTCTTCTTATTTTATTACAAAATAGTCCTGCAGAGGAAAATGCTCCTTCTGATTCTACGCTCGTTGGTTTAATCGTCATTAAAAAATCATAAACTTCAATAATTTAGAAGTAAAATTATCTGCGTTTTTTGGTATTTCATCATCTTCTTGACTTACTAAATCTTCAACGTTCTCAATGGAAATTGTTGGGTGATTTAAATTTGTTACATTTAATCTACTTCGCCTAATGACATTAATTTGTTTTCTCCGTAATGTAGCTGGTGCAGTAGACTACTTAATTCAGTCCTTCGTTTTTTGATTCTGGAGGCTAATGTTTTAAAAAGTTGACTAGTTTTCAGTTCTTTTAATTTAGTTAGCATGAACTCTAACACAATATCAGTGTTTTATCAGTGTTTAGAGATTTAGGTATGTTGACAAATCCCCTCATAGCCAGTCCAGCGCGTATATCAATAGAAGTGCATATTACGTTAAAAGAAATCCCATTTTTAGCTGTTAATCTTGCAAGCACCTCAGACAAGCTGTCTTCTTTATTCATATTTGATGAAAAATTAGAACTTATTTTACTTTTTTTACTCTTTGGTTCTTCTTCCGATGTCAGAGAATGTGTCGCCAGTTCTGCTTTTAAATTTATTTTATGTAATTGAAGAAAATGAGAATGAAGGGCTTTTGTTGATCCCCCCATAATTTTCAATACTTTTTTGCAATAGCTTAGTTTACACATTGATGTTACACTATCTTTGTTGCGCAGAAAATGTTTCCATATAGGGTTTTGCTGTTAAACGATATGAAATTTGACATAGTCAAATTTCATTTTTCCTATCATATCCTAATTTGACGAATCAAAGAAAATATAAGAATTTATTTACTTTCTTATTAAGGGGAATTTTTTAAGTTCAATAAATTTAAATAAATACACTCTATTATTACAAAAACACAATATAAATCAGTACCAATAAATTTTTAATTTTTTTCTCCTTATTGTTATTGTTATTTTTATTATTTATATTATTATTATAATTTAGTTTTAATAATTAAAATTAGTTTCTTACTATTTCCAAATAAACGCTTCAGTAATTGTCACAATATATAAGATTGATTAAACTTACTTAAAACTTATAAATCAATAATGAAAATATTGCATTGCATTGGTACTAAATTTTATAGCTTTGTTGTTGCTTTTTGTTTTATGTGACACAATTTAAACGCAGGTATATATAAATTCTAAATCCCGGGATATTTTTAAAATAATCCTGGGAATTCGGGGTTAAATAATTTGGCAGGGTTTCGGGATCCCAGGTTCCGGGATCGCAAACCCTAAGTGTAATTGCTTGTATCTTAATTGGGCTCGATAATTTTTAGCTGAAATAGATAAACCTTGGAAGTTCAATCACAAAACAAAGAGACCATTCACAGTTAATGAAATTATAGACACTAATTTGCCGCAATACAATTCATTGCGTCCTTCATGCTCAAACCACAAGCAACTTTTTTGTTGTTGTCGTTGTGTTGTTGGACCTTTGGATATTGAAGGTATTTAATATAAAGTTTCATTAATTAATATAATCTTTTGTTAATTGAGTTATTTTGCCTTTTTTTTTTTTTTTTAATTTTTTTTTTTGTTAATATTATATAATTTATAATTATTACATTTTTATGCTATTTTGTTTTATATTTTGTATTTCTTTGAACTTATAAATATTAAGTTTAAGAATTTAGTTGAGGGGTCATCCATAAAGTACATACTCGGTGTAGTTAAGGCAATTTACAAATTATTCAAACTCTTTTATTTGGAATTAGCATGGTTTTATCAGCGTATTATGTCCAATCAAGAGCTTTAGATGGTATAATTTTTTTTGTTTCAGATTTTTTTAATATTTAAAGAAACTTTTGCTTTTTTTTATATAATTTTCAAAACCTTTTTACTACATGTAATAGTGAATCTAAAGAACACTATTTTGGAGTCTTTAGATCAATTCTGCTTATCGGCATTAACATGAATTTAGTTAAAATCTTTTGAATAAGTTCCTTAATTTACTATTGATCCTAGTTCTAATCGGTTCTGATGTATATTAATTATATATAGTTGTGAAAACACGATATTTCCATCAATTTTCACAAAAAATACTAGAATTCCAACCAAGAAAGAGCTTATAATTAAGAAAAATTGCCAATAAACAATCAGAACAGATCATATTGTTAAACTAGAATGTTCATTTCACCTAAAAAACGTATTTATTTAGAATCTTGTTAAAACTTAGACAAACGATTGTGGTTTTAAGAAATTTAAAAAAAAAAAAAAGAACCTTTGGTTTGGGGTTTTTTGCTATAAACATTCATCTTTTATGATACTGCAAAAGTTATCATTTTAATTTTTTTTTGTCTTTTCATAATTTACGGACCTGATCTTTTAACGGAGTTATGTCGTAGTCAACAAAATATCATACAGACGCTATAATATTTAAAAATTACTATGACTACACCAAGTACGCTTTTATTTTGAGCTCTCTCCTTCCCTTCCCCCATTTTGCAATACGCTTTTTTGAGTACCCTCCACCTCCCTAAAAGTACTTACGCTTTTAACCTACACTACCGGTCAAAAGTTTGGGTTCACTTAATAAATTTAATAATAAGCAAAAAATATATATTTTTTTTCACTTCATAGGTATTTATTTATACTGTTTATAATAAAATAATCATGTTTTCTGCAAAATAGGAGATTATTCTGCATATGCAATATATTTTCACTTTTTAAAAAAAATAGATTTTTCTTATAAATTTTTTATTACTCATTGTTATCAATAAAATAATCATTCTTTTAAGAAAATGAAAAAATGAGATAACATTTTAAAAAATATTTCACAATTTTTTTAAAATTATTTTTATCCATGGTACCCTCAATTCGCAAAAGATTACTAACTTTTTTTCCAGCATCACCAGACCATGACTGACCCTCCACCATGCTTGACTTTTGGGATCACACATTGTATTATTACATGTTTACCAAATAAACAGCGAACAATCATTTCTTCAAAAAATTTTGAACTTTGATGCATCAGTGAACAAGATTTGCGACCATTGTTATATTACCCAATCATATATTTTTTTGTCCATCTCCATCATTTATCTTTATTTAGCTTGGGTAGTAACGATTTTTTGGCAGCAACACGTCCTTTCAAACCGTAATTGCTAAGACACTGTTTTACAGTTAAAACAGATACTGGTGTTTCTTGCATGGAATTAAATTCTTGACAAATTTCAGTAGTAGTTCGAGTACAATTTCTTTTACTTTAAACATGGATGAATATGTCTTTGTGATTCAGCATTGCTATAGATCTCCCTGAACAATGCAACTTTGATTACGTCCAGTTTTATGTCTTCTTTACTATGCTCTAATGACTGCATTTTGAGAAAAAGTGGTTGTTGAAGCAATTTTTTGTGTTGAATAACCTTCCTTAAAATTAATAATAAAAATCTTCCTATTTTTTGTACACTTAGCACTGCTTTTTTACTCATTTTTCTTCAATCAAAACATAAAATATATATTTCTTCAAATTTTAAAACTAGGACAAAATATTTTAAAGTAATCCTCGTTCATAATAATTATTCTATGAATGTTACAATATTGAACCAAAACAATGTTTTGACTACCTTTCTGTATAAAATAACTATAAACAACAACAGTGAAAAAAAAGTTAAGTTAGTTTTACAGCAGGCTTGGTCGGAAGCGGGAGCGATCGCTCTCGAATACTGACCACGGAAATTATATTTAGTTGCGAAAAACTGGCCAGGTTTTTTAGTCGTTTTGAGAACATTTAAGTTTATTTACGAAACAAAAAATTTTTATTTTACGGACATACATGGAAACATAAAAAACTTAAATGTTCTCAAAACATCTTGGTGCGAAAGAATAAAAAGAATATTTGCGAACACTAAAAACCCACCAAATTAACGAACAAACTATAAAATAAAAAACAAACTATAAAAACTAAAAAATACGCTGACTAAGCGAAATAAAATTTTTGAGCATTTTGTTGAAATGTTTTAAAAATTATATTATCCACGATTTGTTACGTTTTCAGATTTCTAGCATAAATCGTTTTAAGAATATATATAAATTGTTTACAAAAATAAATGTTTTAAATATATATTAATTAAATTGTCAAAATTTTAAAAGTTTATTATAAATTATAGATTTTATTTGTACATTATTATTTTTTATTTAAAAAGTATGTATTCTTTATGTGAATGTAATTTGTTGATCTGTTTTTTATCGTAATGTATCTTTTAAAGCAATTTTTATGATTTAAACAAAGACTTACAACAATAATTGCGTTTTCAATAAAGTTATAATCGTTGAAGTTAATAAAACTAATCATGTAACACACATAAGAAGTTTCTGGTTACTAAACACAAACAACGCATACAAAGTAACTCGCGGATGAACAAGCACCGCGCCTGAGGTCACGACAGAACACAAATATATATAGCAAATAATTAGATATAAAAAAAAGTTTCTAGATATTGGTTTACTAACTCTAATTATTTTCGCTTCATTTGCAATTCTTAAAAACTCGTAACACTTTTTTCTGCTTTAATTACTAATTAAATTACTAACTAATTAAAAAGCCCACTCACTAAACATCATCAGCGATATTGTGAAGCAGTTTCACTTCCTCGTCATATTTTTAACCTTTTTAGTTGATTTCTATCTTGTTAATTTAATGTCTATAGTAATTCAATGATTTAATTATTTCATTTGTTTATCTTACTAAGAAGAATTGCTTCAAATATGTTAAACTTTTCAAACTACGCGAAACATAAAATAGGTATTAATAAAAATTAGCTTTTTTATTTATAAAATAATTTAGCTTAAATAAAATTAAAACTTGCAAACTTTGTTTAATAAAGAATATTTGTTTCCTTTTTAAACAATCGTAAGATGTTACTTTAGATAAAAAACATCGCTTAATTTTATAAAAAAAATTTTGTAATTGTCTCTCATCGGTCCAATTAATCTGATGCGCTTTTTTTTTTTTTTTTGTTGAAATGTTCTCAAAACGACTAAAAAATCTGGCCAGCTTTTCGCAACTAAATATTATTTACGTGGTCAGCAATCGAGAGCGATAGCTCCCGCTTCCCGACCAAGCCTGTTTTACAGCAAAATATCTTACAGGAAAATATACCCAATTATTACAGCAAAATATATCCAGAGTATTCATTATTGTAATGATGATAAACCTACACTCTACATACACAAATAGGTGTGTAGCCTCTCTAAACAAAATGTCAAAATAAATACTTCAAACTAATGTAACACTAGTTTTGAGTGGAAGGAGCTTCAATTATCGAAGAAAACTATGTAGAATTGAAAAATAAAGCAAATGAACCCAAACTTTCGACCGGTAGTGTACCTACCCAACATTTTATGATATTTTTTAAAATTTATCTCCTTACTTTTATAATTGACCCACTGCCCTCCCATCCCATGTACGCTGTTTGCAGACCTTTTCTTCCCCTCTGAGCGTACGTACTTTATGGACGATCCCTAAGTGGATTTTTCTTTTTTTTTAGCAAGTATTGATCGAAGCGCCTATTGCCCAGGTGAACTTATAATGGTAACCGCTCAGGCTCGGAACAATACTACTCGTGAAATGGCTGGAATGAAAGCTCATCTCTACAAACATGTTGATTACATTTCTACAACAAAAAAAAAAACTTGTTCTGAAAAAGTTGCGGAAATGGAAAGTAAATTTCTGTAAAACTTTTTCAATTAAAACGTTAATCATAATTTATGTAAAATTAAGATTATTAGCTCCTATTATAGGTTTATATTTAAAAAAAAATTTACACTTGGCAATGACATATTTGACACTAAACTGTCTCTATAGGTCCTAGTATTCCGGGAGGTCAATCTTCCATATGGCAAAATCAACCTTTCAGCATCCCTGCAACGTCCCCATCTATTTTAACGTCACGCGTTATTAAAGTGTGGTATGAGTTAACTATTCAAGTTGATGAATCCTGGCGATCTGATTCGTTGTTAAAACTCCCCATTATTATCGGTACAGTGCCATATCGTTCATCGCATGGTCAAGTTGTTTCTGGGTTTCATTATATCAATAAAAAGTCTGGTCAGTTTTTTCTTTTTTTTATTTAGTTATTTTTAAGTTTTATTATTGATTAAGTATTTATTTTACTTTTAGCTTTTTGTTATTTTATTTAGATTTAATATTATTTTAAATATTTATTTTACATTTAGTCTGATTTAATTTTCAAATAATTTTTGAATATAATTTTGATAAGTTTATTATGATTCCAACTCTTGATTTAAACTATAGGTTCTGCTGCCAGTTTTACTTTACCTAATGTTGGTTTTATGGGTTATCCCGAAATAACTCCACCTTCTTATGCCGCAGCGGCTGGAGCTACGCAAACTAACATTGGCAATGGTGGTGATAAATATACATTCGGCAACATGAACTATGTGCCGGTGTATACGTTCAATCAAATGTCAGTGGTAAGTTTTAGTTTTTTGGAAAAAAATGTTTTAGTTTTTCATTAAAGCAGTAAAGTGTGTACTTATACTTTTGACGGTCATCTTTTTCATGCAGTCGGAAGCAGCTACAGGAACAACGACGAGTCAAAATCCTCCTTCTGTAATAACTGAGCAGCCACATTCGTATCCCATAATAAACTCGCTTCCCTCTCACAGGAGTTCAGCTAATTTTACTCCAGTTCCATTAACGTAATGTTAAATGATTATTTATTTTTTTAAAGAAGCATTAACGAAACATCTTCAAATTGTCAACCGAGCAATAAATTTAAATGTGTTGCTGTCATCTTTATTAAATAACTAAACGTCAGAAATTAGTCAAGTGGTTTATCACATCTCTAATATTTAATATCCAATTTATTTAATAAGTTTATTTATACTTTTTTCAATTTGCAATCTGTTTTTGAAAAAAAGTCATTGCCAAAACAAATTTTCTTTACAATTTTTTATATTAAATTAAAAAATAAATTTTTTTAGAATAGTTTTTATTTTTTTGTATTTTTTCAAGTGTTTTATATTAATAATGTGAAAACGTTTTTCAACGTATAACGTAACGTTTTTATTAAAGAAATTTTTTAACGTAGAAATGTGTTGAAGTTATTTAAAGGTGAAACTTTTAAATACTTTAATTTGATTTGTTTGAAGACAATTCTCCCATTTGATTTTTCATTGGCGATTTTGTCAGTTTTAACGAAAAAAAGAAATAAATTTGTTACCTTAGTAATGCTTTATAATTATTTAAGGACGTTTTCATTTATTTTCTAGCGAATTATGTACTGCAATCCTAGCCCAATTGCTGGCCGTTAAAATTGTATGGTTTTTTTTAAGATTTATAGAATTAGCTTAAGAAAATTAGGGCGTAAAATACATTTTTTAATGTTTACATTTTTAAAAACGAATGTTCGTGTTGCAAATCGAGTTCGCTCAGGAGCGATTTAAACCGAAAAGAATTCCATCTTTGAAAAATAATTATTCTTAGCATCGAGTAGTACACAAGTATACTTGTACAAGAAGCTAGTTTGTGTTGAGGCCCTAGTTATTTTTTACGGAAAAATGATAATTTTAATGGTATGATGTTTCAAAATTTTTAAATTTGGTTTGAAAACATCAAAATCGAGTATTCTGCTTATGGTTTTAACTTATAAAAGCAACTAGTTAAAAAGCATCGTAAAATTTATTTTTAAAAGAAATTAATCATAATTTTAAAAATAATAAATACTTATTTCACAGACATCACGCACTCCAAGTGACAAGTTGCTAGGTAAAGATCGTACATTATGCGGTCTTTTTAAAAACACTGTTAATAACTTCTATAACTATTTTTAAAAATATGTGTTTCGGAGTATCCTGTATATATGAGGAGTCCATCTGCAAAACGCGCTAAAATCTGGAAATAGTCACAAAAATAATAATTCCGAGATGACTCCATTTCCACATTTTGTATACTAAAATCTACCATCTATTTCATTGTTAGACCAGTTTAAAGTTTCTACTAAAAATAGACGAAGAAAAAATTAATTTTTGTTGATGCGCAACTATGAGTACTTCAGTTCTTTGTCGTTTTTTCAAAATTAATTTACATAATGGCCATATATTATGAACGCAAAAAAAACAAGATTTGGACCCCCTTTTCCTTTGTTGCACCTCTTACATTTTTATACCCCCTCTCCTTCTCCAATGCGTACATATGCTTGGTTGTTTTACCCCCTCCCCTCAACTATTGTTACTATTATAATGTGTATAGAATTTTCTAAGCAACTGTTTTGCTCCTTGTGGGACAAAATTACTATTAATTTTTTCCTTAAGATTAGTTTTTAATTTTTATAGTTCCAAAATAAGATCTATTGCATTTTATTGACTTTTTTTTATAACTAATACAGTTTTATTAAAATTATTTAATTGACCATGCACAAACCAGAAATATAATTCAACTGTTTCACTTTTAAAAAAAGCCTGATAAGCACGTGAACAATTTTCTTGATAAACAAAATATGACTTCAGGGCCTCAAACATATACAAAATTCTTTCAACTGTGGTTAACAGAGAAAGAAATCTAGTACTTCCATGTTGAATTATTTTTCTATGTTCCACATCTACTAAATCAAAAAATTCCTTCAACTCAGTTACTCGAACTGTGTAGACATATATACTTTCACAACAAGAGCTTCAAGTTATATTGGAAGACCATCAACAGCAGATTGAAGTGTATTGTGCATAATATGTACTCCAAAACCATGCCAACAATATTAACACCATGCTCTTGATTTAGCATGTTGAAATCATTATTTTTACCTTTTCTATGTAATCCATCAAAATTTGTGTTGCAATCACCAGAACAAAAAGCAGCTATTTTTTATTAACTTCATGACGCTGCAATGTTGAGATTAACTTATCAGTCAATATTTTAGATGTTTCACTATAAGCAGATTCAAAATCCAGAAGTTTTACTTTGACACCTTCCAGTGGTAAAAAGAACCTAGCAACAACTGATGATGGTTTTACTTCTTTTCTATGTGACGTGTCGTTAGAAACACTTACAAATGATGTGTCTTTTGTGAGTCATCATGTAACTCTTTTACAGATAAAGGTGCCAGAACATTTAAAATTATTGCTTGATATTTGGTACTTGCAGCACCAAATTTCGGTTCAAAAAATTTTGAGATCAGTTTTGAACTACAGTCAGATATTTTGAAGCTCAAATCATGCATTGCTGTGTGAATGGCAAATGTAGCCTCTATTGCTGCAATAACTAAGTCACCTTTATTGGATCTATCATTTTAAAAAGATTATTTAATAGATGAATAACATGCGGCAACCGAAACTCCAGCTATTCATACACTAATAAAGTCAACGGTTAGCGTTATTCAAGATGATTCCAAAATAAGACTTTGAGTTCCTGATAAAACGCAGACCTAGAAAGTAATTGTTAGTATTTGTATTAGTATCAAAATAATATGACTTTTGTTGTCTGCTTTTTTTTTCAAAATAAAAAATCGTAAATTTTGTTTGGGTCTAAGTAAAACAAAAAATTCATTTTTTCCGAAAACGGAACAAAAACCGTTGGGACGCTGGGACAAATGACATAAAACTGGGACAATCCTGGTCAAAACGGGACTAATGGAAAGCTTAATTATAAATAGTACTTCATTTTCATTAAAGTTGATATGCTTTTTTTTGTTGTTGTTGTTGTAAATACGTTTTTTTAACAATTTTATTTTGTTTAATTAAAGTAGTCCTCTATATATGTTTTTATGATACCTTTTTGGATGGAGTTACTAAAGATGTCTGTAGTAAAAATATTGTCAAACAAGGTAGCATTATTTTTTTGTTACTCTAGTTGAATGATTGACTAGGGGAATTGAGCCTGCTAAAAAAATTTCATCATAGAAACTGGTGCTGGGGTAATGATATAAACTGTCCGTGTACATATCACTAAAACAATTTACATCTGGGTCTGCGTTTTCACCTGATATAATGTATTTTTCGTAAAAATTATAGGTTAGCGATTGAAAGTCATTCATTTTTGTTATTATTTTTTCTTGTGTCCAGGTTTAAAGAATTTCTTTTTGTTATTGTAATTATTAATCGCGCGTTATCAGTTTGTTATAGACTACTTTTGCATACTTTCCTGAGGATCTTAATTCTTTAGCTTTTGCAAAGAGTATTTTTCTTTTTTCAATCGTTCTTTTGCTGTAGTCGTCGTTGAGATATATCCGTTTATCCAAAGCTTTAGTCGTTTATAATGATGTAATATTTTTTCTTTGTCTTTATAGTTTAGGAACTTTATAACTTTTGTTCGTCGCTTTTTTTGTCCAGATTAATTTTTTTTTCTAGTTCTGTGAGCTCTTTCTATTTGAATGTCATGTTTTATATCTAATTTTTCTTTAAATCAAATATTTTACCTTTGACTCGCTTTCTTCCCATGATTCTTTTTCCTTTTCTTCAAAACCTTCAAACCTCAAGTTGTTTCTCCTGCTGCGATCTTCTAATTCAGCAATTTTGTCTATAAAAAGTTCTTGAACTTTTTTTTTCACTTGAATTTTTTTTTTTTTTTTTCTTTGATGTGATTTTTTAGTTTTTCATTAAGTTCGTTCGTTTCCTTCATGGTTTTTTAGTATTATTCGTTTTGAAAGTTCATCCCGTTGTTTATTGTAGCAACTTCATTTTTTAGTGATATGTTTTCGTTTTTTAACTGCTCTTTTTTCCCTTCAAGTTTGTCAATTTTCTCTCCAAAGACTTAAAGTATTTTCAAGGGCTTATAATATTTCTTTCACTTGCGTGATTATTAAACTTTTAGCTATTTTAAAAAAAAAAAAAAAAAAAAAAAGAGGTTTTTGCGCGAAGCTTTCGACAAACCCTCTCTAAAAACTCTCACGTAAACTTTTACGCAAAAACCCTTTCGCGAAAAACATCCACGTAAAAAAAGTTGCCTAATTATATCATAAAAAATTTATTTGTTGTGATATCTTCTATAAAAGTAACGTCAAAAAAAACATCTTTTAATTTTAAAAGATGTTTTTTTTTATATCAATTTATAAGTTGATATAACTTAAAATCTAGCGCAATTCAAAAGAATTTTTAGTTATTCCAAAAAAGTAAAAATTCTTTCGAATTTTTAGTTTTTTTAAAATGACGAGTTTTAAATTTTTTTATAACAATATATTTAAAAAGCATAAAGATTTTAAATCTTTTTATTATGCAAATTTCTCTAGATTTAAAGTTGTATTTTCAGATATTATACGCATTCAGATACATACATAACGAAATTAATAAAAATCAAATTCAAGTAAGCTATTATTTCTTAGTCAAAAGTTATCTTTCTTTACGGCAAGAAATGTAGTTTTATAAAATATTTTACATTATACTATAAAGGCTTAATTAATTTTCTTTTGATTGATATAAAATAGTTTGAGGTTCACAGCTTTGGTTTAAGAATTAAGATGAAAGTTAATTATTTTCCTCTAAAAATTTCAACTATGAAAAACTGAGTAAGAGTCAGTCTTTTGTCTGAAAAAAAAGACAAAAGACTTTCAGACAAAAGACTGACTTTTACTCAGTTTTTCATAGTTGAAATTTTTAGAGGAAAATAATTAACTTTCATCTTAATTCTTAAACTAAAGCTGTGAACCTCAAACTATTTTATATCAATCAAAAGAAAATTAAGCCTTTATAGTATAATGTAAAATATTTTATAAAACTACATTTCTTTCCGTAAAGAAAGACAACTTTTTAGACTAAGAAATAATAGCTTACTTGAATGTGATTTTTATTAATTTCGTTATGTATGTATCTGAATGCGTATAATATCTGAAAATACAACTTTAAATCTAGAGAAATTTGCATAATAAAAAGATTTAAAATCTTTATGCTTTTTAAATATATTGTTATAAAAAAATTTAAAACTCGTCATTTTAAAAAAACTAAAAATTCGAAAGAATTTTTACTTTTTTGGAATAACTAAAAATTCTTTTGAATTGCGCTAGATTTTAAGTTATATCAACTTATAAAGGCTTTTGAGATTATGAAAGTATGGTCTATTTTTCACAGCCTTACATAACCAGAACATTTTATATCAAATTTTAGTGAATCATTGAATTAATGCCACTTTTTGATTACTATTTGTATGAAAAACTTTAAAATAGTAAAAGATTCTTATTTTTGTCAAACTCTCGGGACTGTTTGTAAGTTAGCATTTTTTATTTAAAAAAAATTATTCCTATCTATTCAAGGTTCTTGTCATTCAAATTTTCTTAAATGTTTACAGTCAGTTTGCCTATGATTGTTATTAAATGTTAACAGTCAGACTGCTAAAGATTAAAATCTACATGGAATAGATTTAAATGTGTAAAAAAATAGGTTGTTTAACATTAAGAGACTGTAGTTAGTTTAAATGAAAGTAGAGTTTAATTTCGCGTTAACTTTGCTGCGTTAACATGCTGCGTTAAAGCAGAATGAAGAATTTTTCGATTTTTGTTGGATAATGTACCATATAAACATTAATATTGTAAATCTTCTTAAATTTTATTTGAAATTTAAAATTTTGTTTAAATTATTTGAAATTTAATCTACTTTTGTAACGAGCATCTAAAATGCTTAAGTTTTAGGCCTCCTAAATTTTACCCTTCACCCCATTTGTGACTCTTACCATTTTTTTTCCGATTTTATAACGCACTTTTCTATTTTCATAGAACAAATACTCTTGATTAAAAACTTTTTGTTTTTGTAACGTGATTTTAAAAAGCGTGAAAGGACTAAGAACCTTTCTATTTTAATAGATAAAATATTTTATCTAAGGGCTGAAAGTAATTGAATATGGCATTTACGTGGACAAACAATTATATTTGTTGTATAGAAAATTCTGTAATAAACTCAAAGCTACTCCAAGGTGGGGGGTTTAAACATTTTCACTTTTTTTATTTTAACTTAAAAGTCAGACTAATGCTGTAATTTTATTCCTTAGTAATAGTTTTGCTGCTTTCTTTCTCCTATAGTTTAGTTGTTATAAGGTAAAAACTTTTGCAATTAACGGTTAAAAATAAGACTTTCTACGCCTATTTTTAAGATATTGAATCGTAAAAAATAAATTCACTTAATATTTGCATTTTAAAATACGAGTTACTTATTTACAATTCCAATAGTAATAAAAAAAATTAATCATTCTAGCAACATCTGTTTCTTGACATACCGACTGACTGTCATACTGCTGACCACCAGTCAACCATTAAAAGAGAGGGGTAAATTTCGAACACAAGCAGAAATATTCTTGAAAATCGAATGATATGAATTCGTCAGTAACCAGGCTTAAAAACAGAAAACTTTTCGATATGTTAACATTAATTTACTCAATTTACTGCATTGACCAACTCTCTTTTTTATTATAAGAAGAACTTTCTTCTTGTCTTTTAAAAACTGAATTTAGGAGTCATCCAGGTTCATATAAACAAAGATTTTCATGTCTTTTTTCTAAATAAAAATCAGCTTTTTTTAAATAATTTGCATTCTCAAAGCATATCTTAAACTTTATTTTGAATTCTTCGCATATGGTGCATGGTGTAAGTGGTGCATGAGGTTGTTTTACAACTTGTATCTATGTATATGTTTAACTATACTGTGTTTTCACATGCATGATCCATATTCACATTTACTTATGCTTCTACATCACGTATCTGCAAAAAAAAAAAAAAAGATTAGAAAAATCATGTTACCTGACTTTGATGGTTGATTTTCGTCGAACTATATTAAATAAAAAACAATAAAAAAACGCATTAAAATTAAGAAATTAAAAAAAAAAAAGCCACATTTAGAACAGTAGCAAAGATCGGAGAGAAACAGGTAGATCAAAAGATCGGAGAAAAATAGATCAATAGACATTAGTTGTAAAAAGGTTTTTACAACTAATGTCTCTAAATTAGTCGTTGTAAACAAAGCATTTGAAAATAGAATATTTTAGTGTTTAAGCTAAAACAACTCCAAACTAAACTGATAAATTTACATTTTTTCTCAAACTATAATCAAAAAACAACAAAAAATATATATAATAAAATAAAAAATTGTGTAAACAATTGTCACAAGAGATGTGAGGGTGTGCTAGAGCTATTGCTTCATGCGATAGTAGCCTAAATCCCATATGTATTACTACAAATGCGGTGGTTCGTAGTAGTACGCGCTTAACTTAAATGCCTGTGCAACACCCTTGCCCAATAAATTTCATGATGCCAATTCACATTGATGCAAATTCAGGTTGATGTGTTTGCGATGCTGAGTCAGGATTTAAAGAAGAATGTAACGACAACAAAAAATGGTAACTTTCTAAATTGTAGTGACTCCCTCAAACAGTATATACTTAAAAAAATCAACCGTGCTAAAATAAGTTTATTTAAAATTTTTTTAACTGAAACTTAAAAACTTAAAAAAACAAAATATAGATTTTTATCTTTATATTGTTACTTAGCAACATTGTTTGATGTTTGTTAGATTGTATCTAACGATAATAGTTTTTGTCACGTTCCCATTCAATATTTTGTTATCTCGATACAAATAAACTAGTAACCACTAAAATCTGTAGTAAACCACATATATTTTGTCAACTGTAGTTCTTAGATTTCTTGCCAACTGTGAAGAGAGTGTTAGTATTATTTTTCTCCTTTATTTTACAATATAATTTTATACCAAATTCCTTTTAACTCATTACAGGACTGCCACCATTATTTAGAAATAAAATTCGTTTTTTTTGCTGAAATATCACTAACTTAGAATTAAAACTTCTCTGTCAACCGTACAAGGTATTCACTTTAAAGCAAACTTGTTTTACTCACCTACAAGTAGTTTATTTACCACGGAACAAACACCAACACCACGGAACAAACATCAAAGTTAAAAAATAACAACAAGCATCATTTAAAAATTTAAACTAAAAAGCACTAATAATTTAAAGAAATTTTTTAAACATCACATACATAAAAAATTAACCATTCTCTTATGTAGTTAAACCAAAACTTTGCCAAATTTCCTTACTTTTGTTTCTTATTTTTTGCAATTTCGGTCATGATTGTTTCTATTTGTATGTTGTATATTCCTACATACAACAAAAAACTTAAATCTTCACCTAAATATGTTTTTGGGATTCTTATAATAACGAAGCAAAAATCTTTTATGAAAATTTATGAAAATTTTTAGGTAACTCACACTGTTGCTCATGCTGCTTTTCAAGAAGTCCCTCTCTATGAACTATTAATTTTTGCCAAAAAAATTGTTACCTTATCAAGAATATTTTTTGCAGATGGTTGGCCCGAAAATTGAAACCAAGTACTTAGGTCAAATATTTACAAAAGAAATGGAGCTTAAAACACATTTTTAAAACACTTACAGTACAGATGTAAAATTGAAACATTAAAAAGCATGAACATAGTTCTTATTGTTAATTATATATGAACTATTCTAGGACAATTTATAGGTAACACCGTAGTAGAATTGGTTTAATCTTTTTTTTTGGAAAATTTATTTTGGACCATTTCTTGTTTAAGTTATAAATTTTGTCATATAAAAAAAAAAGACAGCATGAAAGTTTTCTCAGAATCAAATATTTTGTTCAAGAAAATAACTCTTCACAAACAACAATTATGATAAAAATTAAAATAAAATAATAAAATATAGTAGCAAAAAAGTATTCTTACCTGTTTTGTTCTTAATTGCTTTGTATAAGTTAGATAAAGCTAAAAAAAAAATTTAATCAAGTTTAAGTTTAATAGTCTTATAAACATTTAAATATATACATTAAGTCAATATATTTTAAGTATTAAAGGAAAGGAAATATGTATATATTTTTTTCTTAAATTTTATTTTTATTAAATTTTATTAAAAAATTTATTCCTGCTAAACTTAACCAACAATTTAATAAACTCATTTAAAAAGATTTTGAGTCTTGACTCTATACCTATATTGTAAACTTTTTTTAAATTTTTACCTGTGCAAGAGCCATAAATCAGTTGTGTAAACTAACTTAGGGGAGCATGGGTAATACAATGGGTTTTAGAGACCCATGAGCTTTATATAGAATACGTTTGTAGTCATATCTTACAAATTTAGCTCTATGCAATTGCATTTGTAAAGTAATTGTAGAATATACCTCTCTCTTCAATTGCTTGTGCTTGATCAGGAGACATAGATTGTATTTGTTTTTTTAACTTATTAAAAAATCTTTTGGAACTGCTTGTTAAAGAAGAACGTGTATGCTCATCTGGTGAAGTATGATCAAGGATTTGCAATGTTTCATTAATCTTTTTAAGAAATGTATTACTATTTTCTCTATTTGCACCTGAATCAGGTCTAGAAGAGTCTTTTAAGTTAATTTTGTTTATACTAGAGTTAGGTTGAATGCGTATATTACGCGAATTATTTTTATATTTATCTAAATCTGGATTCTTGCTTAAATGGTTAACTTCTTCTTCTGCTTTTTTACTAAGTTCAGTAAGTGGTTTAGCTCTTTCATGTAAAACTGGTTCTGATTTCATATGGTTAGTATCATGAAAAACATCAGAGTCTTGATCTTTTTTTCCTGAAAGATCTAAATCAAAAAAATGTAAATTAGTTTTTTTTTACAAATTTTACTTTGCACTTACACTATGTAGATTGATTACACTAGGTTGGGAGTTGAAAGAAATCAAAGAAGAAAGCAAGGAAGAAAGTGGTTTGATAGAAAACTTAAACTGTATGAGTTAGAAGAACATGAAGATGGGAGAAAATTTCAAAGCATCAATTTTCAAGGAAAAAAACTAGATGAACAAATATTTTTAGGCATGAAGAAACAGTTACAGTAAAAAAGGTTTATTTGATAGAGCTTGTTATTTGAAGTTTCAGTTGATAGAGCAATGTAGTTAAAGTTTTAGTTGATAGAGCAAGTTAGTAGAAGGTTTAGTTGATAGAGAAAGCTATTTAAAGTTTTAGTTGATGTTAGTTTGCAAATGATGTTAGTTTGCTTGAGCAGTGACTCTGGTAATACATGTAGAAAATAGAAATAGATGCTACCTCATCAGGACGGGACAGGGGCTTAGCAGCTAGAGCAGGTCCAACAACATTATAAGAGCCCGCACAAATATAACAACAGTATCCTATACAAGAACAAATAAGAGTTTTACAGAAGTGGAGAACATAATCAGGAGTAAGATAATGCCAAGAACAATAAAGAGAGGCAACCTTAGTAGAGGCTAACTTTGCAATTGATTCTATATATGGTTTCCATGAGTGGTCAGTATTGAATGATAATCTAAGAAGACATAAAGTAGAGGAGTCAGTAAGAGCGTTGCTATTCATTTATAAAGGAACATCGACAATATCGTGATAATTATTAGAATTAAACAACTGACTTTTGTTTGGTTTTTCACCAGCCACTGCAAGCCCCAAACTCTTACAGAAGAGATCACATTTAAGATTGGCTGTTCTAAGCAAACTCAAAGTGATTGGCTGTTCTAAACAAACAAAAAGACTTTTTGTCAAGACTAGAGTATATAGTTGTGTCATCAGCAAATAGAACTATTATAGAGGAAAGATTATCAAGAAGATCATTGATATTGATAAAGAACAACACAGTACCAAGTTGTTAACTAACCTATACTTATCTACACATATTATCTTTGCATCACTACAGTCTTGCATACTTGATCTATATACATAATCTTTACCGGCCTACAATCCTACATACCTGGACTATAGTTATCTAGATATATATAAACAAGAATAACATAACTTAATAGGTTAGAACAACCCCTGAAACATTTAACCAAGTGGGCTAGGAGTGTTAATGTCCAAAAATGATAAATTTTAAAATAACAAAGATTCTTAAAGCTTCTCAAAATTATTTTAAAAGTTATTCTATTCTTTTAAAAACAATATAAAAAATATATCATAATACAATAATATGATAATACTGACAAGAGCAAAAAATGCAAAGACAGTTTCTGATTATGATTATACATTTTTGTTAATGAAAAAAAAATTCTAAGGTTACCATAGAGATTACAACCATAGAGATGAAAGTCATAAAAGAGGTCTAAATCACTTAATAGTAGAAAAAAAAAAAGATGAAAATCTTTTGAGCATGTGGGAAAAAAATTTAGACTCTTTAAAGAGATTTACTCTCTCTGAAATGAAGAACAGCCATAAAAAAATGATTATGAGTTTTAAATAATAAATAATTTTAAATAATGAGTTTTAAATAAAAGCCTTATTAAGTGCAGTAAGAGATCTTTAGAAAAAAAAAAATTCATAAAAAACATGTGTATGTTAAGAAAACTAAATCTACTATACTTTATACACATTTATACATTCTTATAATAACAAAATTTACCATAAAAAGCAACTTTAAAGAATTTGTAAACATTAAAAAAAAAAAAAATTAGAAAAGTAAACATGTAATAAAGATTGAACATAAGCCTAGCAATATTTACTTATTGCTTAAAAAAATTTAGTTAATATCATTATTATATAAAGTAATACCAGAAATAAAATAATAAAATAAACAAAGCAACATTAGCAGATGGTAATTTTGCAACTTCCAGTTTTATTCCCAAAAAAGATGAGAATTCAAAAAGATAAAAAAAGAAAAATAAAACACATCAGTATTTCATTAAATATTAATTTTGAATTTTGACATTTTTTTATTGGAACTATGTTTTTTAATCAGAATAATAAGAAAAATAATGGAAGAAAATTTTGAAGATGAAATAAAAAAAAGAACTTACAAGCTATACTTTTACTTTTGGTTTCTTCCAGTTGAATTTCTTTTGATGCAATCATTGCTGCAAGTTTTAGATTTTTGATGAGCAGCTTTTTAATGGCATCATTTCGTGATTCTTTTGGATCATTATTTGTATTACTAGTTGATTTTTTTGCCTGCTCTGCCTGTAACATCTGCAATTTTAATCTAAAACATCCATTATATATATGTATATATATATATATATATATATATATATATATATATATATATATATATATATATATATATATATATATATATATATATATATATATATATATATATATATATATATATATATATATGTGTATATATATATATATATATATATATATATATATATATATATATATATATATATATATATATATATATATATATATATATATATATTATAATAAATATATTTATATATACAAAGGTATATAAAATATTGTTTTACAAATCACATTTTGTAAAAACTAAAAAAAAAACTGTCATAAAAAAAAGTAATGAATTTTAACATTTGTAACATACATGTATGTATGTATCATGCATGTATGTAACATTTTGTTATATACATAGACATTTATGTATAAAACATAAACTAAATCTTAGCTTTGTGTGTGTCATTTGTGTATATTTTTTGTGTGTCATTTGTGTATGTCATTTGTGTGTGTCATTTGTGTATATTGTTTTCAATAAAATATGGATTTACCTAAAAAATACTTAACTGATTCTAAACTGTTGCAAGAGATTGTGATGTCATTCGCAAAACATTTTTTTATTTAAAAAAAAAAAATCCAATCCAATTGTGTTTAGTTACCTTTAATTTATTATACTTGTAAAAATAAAAAGAAAACAGATATAAAAGATGATACAAAGGATAGATACAAAGGTTGATACAAAGCATAGATACAAAGGCTAATGTATAAAGCTACGCCTTGGTATCAAGGTGTAGATACCAAGGTTAGAAAAAGCTAATAAACTTTTTTGAGTTATAAAACACAACTTTTACATGACTTAATGATGTACTTATATTTTAACAGAGCTAAATATTTTTATATTTTTGTATGAATTTTAAATTCGTTCTAAGCTATGAACTAGGCTGTACAATTATACTATAAAAAATAAACAAGAGTACAGAAATGACTATTCCTTTTTTAAAATTTTTTTTGTGTGAATTGCCTGTCTTAAACAGATATGGTAGGCAATGCGGGTGATTTTTGTGGGCTTTTTTGTATTTAGATAAAAAAAACTCATGGATAAATTGATATTTGTTTATTTAAGTGTAAATTTGATTTATAACATTTTTTAAAAAAATTATTAAAAAGAACATTACATTTGACGAAACTTTTAAAATTCTATTTTAATATATCTTTAGATTGCCATTAATTATTTTATAAATATTATTTGTGCTGCATTTCTTCTTATATTCATATTTAAAAAGTTATTTGTTACTCTTCTTTGTGAAACATTTTTTTTCTAATTTGAAAAGTTTAAAACTGCTCTAAAATCGCTCGAAGCAAGAGAGCAAATAATTATACAAAAAGACTTATGTAATTAAAATTTAAATGAGTGATTAGGTACTTTTAGATTTGTTTTTGTGCCACACAATTCAAATTTGAATAAACAAATTTTAGTTCTAAGTTGTTGTTGTTGTTTTTTTTACATTTTTTTAAATATGTATTTAATAAAATTCTGGTCTTTAGGACTTGATTTTCTTAAAAAAAAAGATTTTAAAAAAATTTTAATTACAAAATTTTTTTAACTTAAAGACACACAAAAACATAACAAAAATTTTTTTATTATTGCGTATTTACATAATACTTTTTAAAGCGATACTTTATTTTATACGTTAAGATGCTAGATGCTTTTTACTACTTTTGTTTATCTAAGTAAAAATACAACTCTACCTGAAAATCATTAAATTTTGCAGTTTTAAAAAATATAATTGTATTTTTGCAAATGTATTACCATTTTTTTTTTAAACATCTTCATTTCCAACAAGGCTGCAAGCAACCACTATTAGATTTGGAAGTTACTGGAAGAGAAAAGATAAAGTTTATAGAGCAAGATAACGATTAACAGATGACTTGAAAATTTGTTAATTATATGAAGCAGGAAAACAAGATAAAAGAAGCCAATTTCAAAGAACTGAAGTTCAAGGAAGAAAACCCAACAAATAAGAATTTTTTTAGCACCTAGGAACAGTCACAGTAAAAAGATAAGACTTAATTGAATGATGACTAACATGAGAATGAATTTTAGTAGATGGCACAAGAGACCCTAGCTCTTTAGAGTAACACCTATTATAGTGTTTATATAAAAGAGAAAGAGAAGCAACGTCACAACAATCTAACAATGGTTAAAGGTTGACTGCAAGAGCATGTCTAACTATTTTTACAATGCATTATAGCACCTTGTCTAAAAGAGAAAAAGCATCAGAGAATATTCCATACAAGGATGGATTAGAGATTTATGGAGATAAAGATTAGAATCTAGCATAAGAAAGTTGCAAGCACAATATAGAGATGCAACCTTAGCAGATGCTAATTTTGTAATGGATTTGATATATGGTTTCCAAGAACGATCAGAGGTAGGAGTTAATCCTAAAAGACAATGAGTAGACGATTCATCAAGTGCATTACAGTTCATAAATATAGGATAAATATATATAAATGAATATAGATATAGATCTTTATAAATAAATATAGATATAATGGTTAGCAGAAAAAAATTGAGTTTTATCTGAGTTAAAGTTCACCAGCCACTAAGAGCTTCACGCTGTAGCAGAAGTGAGATACTTTTCTCAAATGCCCCTTCCAACCAATCAGAGAGTGTTGGCTTCTTATCAAGACAAGATTTTTACTACGATTAATAAGGAAGGATTCAATAATCTTAAACCCAAGGATTCAATCTTAAAGCCAAGGACAAAACCTTGAGGAACCCCTAAAGTTACAGGAAATGGGGAAGAGTGCTGTCCATTGAAGACAACTTTTATACTAAGATTGGTAAGGAAGGATTCAATAGTCTTAAAGATGTTACCTGATACACTGTGAGAAGTGACCTTATGGAGAAGACCAGCATGCCAAACTTCATCAAAAGCTTTAGAAATGTCAACAGCGATAGTCTTAAATTCTCCACATCTATCTGATGCACAATAAAACCTATCAGTTATTACCATTAACAAATCAGCAGTAGAGCAAGAAGATCAAAATCCATTTTGATGATCAGAAAGTAAAATGTTAGGTTCAAGATGAGATTTTAAGTGTTTGTTAATTAAAGACTCAAAAACCTTGCTTATGGTAGAAAGAAGACAAATGGGACAATAGTTAGATGAGTCAGATCGCTCTCCAAAATTAAAAAAAAAAGGAATAACAGATGACGCTTTACAGCAGGCTGGAAAACAAGACAAAGATAAATTTTAAAAGTATAGGCAACAGCTCCAGAGAACACTTCTGCAAGACTATAACAAGCATGTTGTCCACACCACAAGCTGTAGAAGAGTCTAAGCAGGAAATCACTTTAGATACTAAGCTGGATTGATACAAATGTCAAGCAATGGATCAACCTGCTTGTCAGCTATATCAGGTAAGATGTGGTTAGTGGAATCAAAAGATGAGATGGATAAAAACTTCTTAACAAAGAATTCAGCTTTGTCATTAGGTGAAGTAACGAAATCTGAACCATGCATGAAAGGAGTAGTTACAGATTTGTCCTTATAATATTCACTTTTAAAGATTTTCAAGATATCTCTGGAGCCTAATTTTTGAAATAAAATATGAGATTTTGTGACCTGAGAACAGCGGGCTTTGGCGTTATGCATAACCTTTTTACAATGGTTTCTAGCAATAGTAAACAGACATCTGTTTTCTGAAGAATTGTCTCTGCAATAGGTATGGAAGTAATTGTTTTGATTAGAAATTGCAACAAGACAATGAGAAAAAAACCATGGAAAAGAATGAGACAACACTTGGAATCGTGTGAGGAAACAAAAGATTCCATGCCAGTCTGAACCCAAGAAGTTACATAATAAGCACTATTGTCAGCAGGAAGAAGAAAGAATTTAACCCAAGGTCTATCACAAAATAAATCACAGAAAGAGTTCCAGTCAGCTTTAAGGTAAATGTAAGAGGTACAATGATAGGGTCATTCTGACAATGAAGAAGTATGAGATAATAGTTTTAGAGAGATCAAACAGTGATCAGAAGCACCTAAGGGTAATTGTGAAGAAACTAAGCACTGACTAAGATCAGAAACAAGACATTAGTCAAGTAGAGAAGGTAAATAATTCGGACTATCTGGATAGCAAGTTGGAAAGTTGTGGCAAAGAAGTCAAAAAATGTGGGCCTTAGCACCTGCAGAGTCACTAACACTAGTACCAAGCCATTCAGTGTGATAAGCATTAACGTCACAAGCAACAATTTTTTATATTGGCTGAAAGATAAAGAAAAAGAAATTGGTCAATTTGTTCAGAAATAACATCAAAAAAAGTGCAGTCGTTTGATTAAGGAGAGCAATATAGAATAAAGAGAAAGGGGATAAAGTGAAGTGGTGCTAAAAGAAAGCACATAAAAGAATAGTCTGTGGATTCAAACCTAGTTTCCTGACAAATGGGTGAATTCTTACGAATGTAAATGCCCAGGCCAAGCATGTGACTATTAGAGTCTTTATGAATTAAAGGAAGATATCCATTAACTCTAAAATCACAAAATGAGACAGCTCAACTTAAATCATTCTAACAAAGAACAAGTAAGCCTGGTGAACTTTGTAAGAGATACTCAACAGAAAAAAAGTTACTTCAAAGACCTCGATTATTAGTGAATGATAAATTTAAAGATATTGGTAATGACGATGGTTTTTTGTGTTTTATAGTTTTAGATACTTTAGTTATTTTTTAAATTGGTTAAAAACTTGACACAAAGCACAGACAGTACTCAGTACAGTATCTAACAGTCCAAGCAATTGCCTAATTACTATTAATAAACCCTAAGCCATAACAAAGGGCTCTAAATGTGACCTCAACAATGTGCACCATCCATGTGCATAATGGCGCTGTTAGTACTCTTATATTTAACAGCTGTTGATGGAATCAACAGCTGTAAAATATCAGAGTACTCTACTTGCCTCTCTGAGACAGGGCTAGAAAAATCCATGATTTTTCAAAAAACACAATTCAAATGGATACTTTTGGGTTTTACTGGGTTTTTTTTGGTTTTCTGTTTTTTTGGGGGTTTTTTTAAAAACTGATCAAAATTCCAAATTTTTATCATAGTATGTGTACTGTAATTTTTTTTATTTCATATATTTACCTCCCCATTGCTCTAGTGTCCACCACAATCAAGGGAGCTACTTATTTTTTAAAAATAATATTTTAATCCTTAACTCAAAAACACTTTTAAACAAGAGCACAGTGTGGAGAAATAGTTTAAGCACAGTAATTTCAAAGGGTGCAGTGTAGATTTGAATTTCAACCTCTTGACTGCCAAATGTTTTACAAACAGTCTACTACCACATTATAGCTTTGGTGCTCAAGGGGACTCCTTCAACTATAAATAATTTTAATTAATTGCATGAAATTAAAATCATGTTCAGAATCGTTTTGACTAAAAAATGAATATAATAAAAATTACTATGGCAAGTGTTCATTGTCATTCTGATTGACAATAACTTACAAGGTTGCAACATGATGTTGCAACTTTGTAAGTTATTGTCAATCAGAATGACAATGAACACTTTTTAAACATTTATGCATCATAGCATAATACTGTAAGCCTAATTGCTACCTTTTTTACCTTAACAGAACATTATATATCCAACAAAAAGTTGTATACCTGATCAACACTATGCAGTAAATATATTAATTTTATATAATCATAATTATATTTTCAAAACGGGGTGAGAATAGTTAGCCAACTTGGGATGACATTGAACACAACATAATGTTTTCATTTTTTAGATTGTAGATAGATTCATTTTGCAAGTGGATTTGTGCCTAAATTGCAGAGTGTTCTTAAGAATATCTAAAATGGATTCATTATAAAGCATTTTGGTATCTTCACCACCAGATTCTTTATTTTTTCCTGGAAGACGTTTTATCATCTCAGTTTTATTCCTCCAGTCATTAGTCGTTTTTTATTATCATGTAAAATTACTTGACAAACAAGGCTGCTGTGTGGAGAAACAAGTTGATCAATTGTTTGTACAAATAAACTTTCTGTTGAACTTTCTGGTTTGTCCACCATTCTTTTTTGGAACTTGATTTTTAAGTTTTACTTTTGTATGTAGTGTTCCTTCTAGAATGTTTTAAATTTTAGCAGCTTTTCTTATGGGAAATATATAGTTTTACTGTTACTAGGTCTGCTTGAGTTTAACTTGATTTATAACACCCACTATTTTCCTTTTTTTTGTAATTTTGAGACAAGTTTCATAAGATTAGCAAAAAAACTCAAATTTATGATAAAAAAAATTTCATTTTAAATTGGCAAATAATTATATAGACAAGCTACACCCTAAACTTTGATTTTATTAAAACAATACAAACCTGAACTTGATGTGTAGCAACTTTTATGGTGTTTTGTTATGTGGTTCTTAAGATAGCTTGATAAGTTACTTAACTGCACAAACCACATAACTCTTGCTGTTTATATGCAAAACAAAAAAGCTGAAAAAGGCACATTTTTTGTGCAGACAAAAATAAGCTTTTATAAATTGTATTTGAAGCTAAAAAAAATAAAGATTAAATACCAATATAAAATGACAGATCTAAAATACTTGTTCTGATATATAGGCATTTGAGAGGAGAGGAAAGATATTAAATAACTAGTAATTTCTTGTATTTTGAAATTTTGTAGAACGATTTTTATTTCCTTTATAAACATATAACTTATTTGCCCTTATATATAGCTCAACTTGCTATGTGGTTTGAAAATTAATAAACTTGCTAAAAAAAATGATTGATGGATTTTGGATTATTCTGTAAGGAGTTAAACTAAAAATTATAGTCGAAGTACCATTTTGTATATAAATTTTGTATACAAAAGTATTTGCAGTATAAAAGTTGCAATTTGCTAATAATGAAGCATTTTTAAGAACTAAAATAAGACTTATCAGTTGTGAAATAAGATAATTTTTAAAAAATTCCAAAAAACCTAAATATATTTGGTTTTTTGGGGGTTTTTTAAGGTAGGTTTTTTTGGGTTGGATTTTTTTGCCATCCCTGCTCTGAGAGCTATCACAGAGTTCAGGAAACCTGACTACCAGATGGCCTCAGAACCAAACTGAGTTTTAGAACTGTACTCTTATTAGGAGATAATAGAATGAATTGCTTAGTCATAAAAACAGAGACACAAGCAAACTAGAAACAATGTATTATAAATATATCTATGACAGTGTAATAGATGAAGAAGGGGTGCGAAGCTGATTTACCAATAGAATCTGCTTACCCCTTAAGTCTTTGAAGCCTTATGCAAGACAGTAGCCAGATGCATTTAACATTTATGTTATGTATATTTATATATATAAATATATATATATATATATATATATATATATATATATATATATATATATATATATATATATGTATGTATAATATATAATCTTAAAACCTTTAGCATTTGAGGCAAGTGTCTACTACAGCACAACTACCTGACTCTCTCACTAACTTAATAAACTACATCACCATATTGAGTAATTTTGATACCTTATTTGTTGCAATCTTTTTTTTAAACGAGCTAATTTTTTACGATGATGTCTTGCAGCCGTTTCTTGAACCTGCATTGCTGTTTGTCTTGTTTCTTCAAGGGAAGGTGGTGTTTTATCTTGTTTATCAGAAGCATGGGCATGAACTGTGATAGGAGTTAAATCTCCTAAATGACCTTCGCTTAAAGAACTTGATAATTGATTGACATCGTGTTCATTTGAATTACCTTCATGTTGAAAACTCGGCAATTCATCTGGAGAACTTGATTGCTGAGAATCCATTTGGTCTGCTAAATACTGAAAACAAAATTTGAAGTTTTTTTTTAAATATGAGTCAATATTTTATCAAAATTAGTTTTGCTTTTTATTATTAAAATAAAATGTTAAAAAAATATTTATTATAGAATTAGACCTGGGGATTTAGTAGTGCACTTATCGCAGTTTCTGCATTATTTTCATTAGATTCACCATAGTTATCTCCTGAAAGACCAAACTCTAACATCTTTTGTAATTTTTCATCTGAAGAATCTAACTGTCCAATTTCATTAGAAAGCATTTCTAAAATAATTCGCTGTAATATGTATATATATATATATATATATATATATATATATATATATATATATATATATATATAATATATATATATATATATATATATATATATATATTAAATGATGACATCTTGTATGAGAGTTGAATAAATTTAATATATGAACATCAATAAATATGAATTCTCTCAATACTAATTTTTTAATTAATCTAAGAAATTTTTGCTAGATTATTAATACTAGCATCTTCAGCTTTAATTACAAACTATTAATAAAATTCAATAACAAACAAATGGTAACGTCACTTTTTAATGGCTTCTTTAAAGTTCTTTAATAATTTGTAATTAAAGCTGAAGATGCTAGTATCAATAATCTAGCGAAAATTTTTTAGATTAAGTAAAAAAATTATTATTGAAAAAATTCGTATTTTTTAATGTTCATATATTATATATATATATATATATATATATATATATATATATATATATATATATATATATATATATATATATATATATATATATATATATATATATATATATATATATATATATATATATATATATATAAAATAGAAAAAAGTACACACAAACCTTTTCCAGTTATAAACTCCAGAAGAAAAACTGTAAACTCAATCTAACTGTCAAAGGGTAAAATTCCTGTCAGTGGGTAAAACTTCATAGTCAGAAGTTTTCAAAGAATAAAAGAATTATAGAGTTTAGAACTTTTAGAGTCAAAATTGTAGTTTAACTTTATTAAAGTTTAATTATCTAGTAAAAATAATTTAAATTTTTCTGTTTCGTGTGTGATTCTGTATCAAACATAATTTATTCTTTGATAACATTACTAATGCATACCATATTTGTTTAAAAAAATATTTATATAGATTAAAACTAAATGAGAGTAAATTAAAGACTGCCAGTTATATTATTATGAAAATAATAGACAAATAAATGAGTTTCCGCACATGATTTTTTTTAAATGCCCACAAATTTGCGACCTAAATATTTCAAAGATATTTAACACTGCCAGAGCCAGAGCTAAAGCAAAAAACTTGGGAGCCGGAGCAATAAGTTTAAAAAATTGGAGCCGGAGCCATACATTTTTCTTCTAGTTCCCTACCCTTGGCTTTTACAAATGACAAAATAATAAAAAAGCATGAAGACACTATTGAAATTTTAATGAAATACATGCAAAGATTAATTTGTCCTGTAATCAATCGATAATGAGAATTAATCAGAATAATGAATTTCAAGAAGAAAAAAAGAGGTCAAAAAATGGTCAAGTGTCTAATAGCAACCTTTCAGATCAGCAAGTATTATACTTTAATTAAAAAAATAGCTTTGATTAAAGTAACTTATTAAGTCCATATTTATGATCTAGCAAACATTTGTTGAAATATTGACAAAATGTTTATTGAAAAAAATTTAATAAAATTTTTTGGAACTTTGGTGGTTTGTATCTAAGTCTGTAGAATGTGCTAGATTGAGATTGGTAAATTGTCCATGGATAATATCCATGATAAAATTTACCAAAAAGATGACCATGGTAAATTATTTTTTTAGAAAAATTACAATGGATGGTCATCAGACTAACCCTTTTTTAAGATACCGGTGAAACACTTTTTGAATAGAATTTAAAATAGTTTTTAATTAATATCTCTGTAGGGGTTGGTCTATTGACAAAGGAAACACTGCCAGATATTTTTTTTTTTTTTTTGTGTGGCAAATACTAACAATAGCTCTAAGGGCATAAGTTATTTAAGCGTTTTTCCTAAACATTAAATAAATTAAGATAAAAGTATCTCATAAAAGTTGACAGATTTTTTCATATAAAAAATTTAAAAGTCTCAGTCAGATGACAATCCATGGTAATTTTTCTTTTTTTAAAGAAAGAAGTTTTAAAATTTTTGTGAACTTATAAAACCTTGTTTTTATGAACTTCAATGTCTTTTTTTTTTAATGCCAAAATAAATTTGTCAGTTAAAATAAATAATAAATAAATCAATTAAAAAAGCATAAAAACATTTTATGTTAGAAGTACAACACAAATAAAAAATTACACACCTCCTCCATCTCCAATACCTTGACGATCACTGCCAATTTTGTGTGTATCTTTATGATGGGGTGTATAACCATTAAGAAGGCTAGAGTCTTCTTTACTATTTGTATCCTCAAATGAATTCATATCCATCTGCCCAATTCCTGCATTGTTTGTGCCATCATTTAAGCTGGTTTCATAATTACCTTCTAAAGAATTTATACCAAACAGAGAATCTCCTTCATTATCTTCATTTAAACTATTAAACAAAGATTCTGCACGCCCAGACAATTGTTCTTGACCAATACCAAGATCATTATTTCCATAAGTACCTTGATTATTTAATCCAAGTGGGTTATTAGGTGCAAACTGTTGAATGGAATTGTATCCTAAAATAGTTTATGGAATAAGACTTAAAAGACCTGTATAGTAAATGTAATAAAAGTCATGTGACTTTTTATTATATATATTAATATAAATGTATGTAATAAAAATAAAAGTATTTCTTATTTACTTATTTTATTTTTTATTTATTTCATTAATAATAGTTAAATGATTTTAATCATTTAAATAATTAAATTAAATCAGTAAAATAATTATATTATTTTTTTCATTAAAATAATTATAACATTCTTTTCTATAATTAAGAAAGATATTTCTTATTAATAGAAATATGTTTTTTCTTATTGATAGAAAAATATGTTTTAATTATTTAAATGATTTAATTATTTAAATGATTAAAATCATTTAATTTTTACTAACAAAATAAGAAAGTATATAATAAAATAAGTAAACAAGTAATACAAATGACAATTTAAATGTTAAATCAAGTTAAACATTTTATAATTTATATTATTGCAAAAGTTTCAACAAATTTTATATTTTAATGGTAAATTAGATTATAATATGTATATGTATATGTGTGCAAAAATATTTTAAGCTTATGCCAGCATAAAAAGTATTTGGAATAGACACATTTTTGCAATCAGTTATGAAAAGCAACCTTGTGATAGAATAGGAAAACAGTTGAACAACTTGTAGCTAATGCTAATTTCAAAAGAACTTTACAAACCAAATACTAAACTAATGTGACATGCATGCTAATAACATGAACATATTATTAGCATTTATAACATCAAAGATATGAAATTTACATTTTATCTCAACCAAAAGTCTGGCGGAAAAAAGAATATTAGGCTTTCTTTAGTTTGTCTTCTGATTCACTCCTAACAAAGCTGCATGCAACCACTATTAGGTTATGAGTTACTGGAAAAAAAGAATAGAGTTATAGAGAAAGGATACTGTCGACAGAAGACTTTAAAGGTTGTATGAATCAGGAAAACGTGAAGATTGGAAAGAGTTCTAAAGGGTTGAAGTGCAAGGAAAAAAACTAGACAAATATAAATTTTCAGAGCATGCAGGGACAAATGCAGTAAAAGAATGAGACTTTGCTGCAGGGTTGTAAAAAAACTTTAAAAGACAACATGGTTTTTAAAATCAATACATCATTATTGAAAAGTTGAAAAAATTCTTTCAATTCAAGTTGGTACATTTAACAAACCTTCAATATCCATTTTAATGTTGCAGTCTAAAAATTTTATAGATTTCAACTATTTTATTGGTTATTTTTTTACATTTTTAAAAATAGATTCACTGTACAAACAACTTTTATTACATGGAGCAGATTTGGCTTTATCTGTGAATGTCATTGCTTTATCTGTATGTAACTTACTTTTCTACCAATCGTGGGATCCAACTCTCTATTTTTTCAAAATGATGCTTTAGTTATTGACATATTTTTCAAGTGAACCACACATAGAATTCCAGCGTGTTTTGACATAAGCGTTTACCTGACCCCCAAAGACCCTTAATTTGGCATTGTATATATATACATATATATATATATATATATATATATATATATATATATATATATATATATATATATATATATATATATATACATATATATCATAACGTATCACATTGAATCTGTTGCCACATTTAAAAAATAAATAGGAATTACCAAATAAATAACACACTGTAAATTTAATATATATATAAGAAATTAATTTAAATAAGTGCATTCACATTAAGTATTTACATGAAAGATAAAATTCTATTTGTAAACATAACCTGGGCTTATTTTTCTTGCTGAAAATTTAAAGTTTAAAAAATATTAATTTGGTTTAAATTTATATTTTTCCAATTGGTTTAAACCATTAGTTTAAACCTATTAACTCAGCTTTGCTAAATGACGAGTCAAGGGAGAATGAGTTTTAGTAGATGGAACTAGACATGATAGCTCATTTGAGCAGCAACCATGATAATATTTGTAGAAAAGAGAAAAAGATGAAACTTGATGACAATGAGAAAGAGGCTCAAGCTTAGCAGATAGAGCGGGTCCAACTACAATTACAATGCATTTTTTGGTTCTTCTAATGATGCTCTTTTACTTCTAGACCTTGTCTAGAAAATAAAAGGGAATCATTAGAAGAACCAACCCAAATATGACAACAGTATTCTATACAAGGACAAATAAAAGATTTGTGAATGTAGAGAATAAAATCAGGAATAAAAAATTGCAAGCATCATAAAAAGAAGCAACCATTGCAGATACTAACTTAGCAATCAGCTGTATATATGGTTTCTATGAGAGGTAAGTAGTGATCAATAATCCAAGAAGACAAAAAGAAAAGGAATCCAGTGAGAGGGTTGCCATTCATTAATATAAGAATGTTGACAGTATTGCAATAGTTGTTTGCAGTATTGTTGGAGTTAATATTACATGTCACTGCAAGCCCCAATCTGTTAAAGAAGTGAGATTAGATTCACAACCGACTGCCTGTTCTAAGCAATTAAAACGAGAGGACTTTTTGTCAAGACAGGAGTATGAAGTTCAGGAATTAGCAAAAAGAGCTACTTTAGATGTAAGGTGGTCAGGAAGATCAATAATGTAGATAAAAAACAAAACAGGACTAAGGATAGTACCTTGAGATACCCCAAAAGTTGCTGGAAATAAAGAAGAGTGTTGGCCTTTGAGTTAGCAAGTCAGCCGAAGAGCAAGAGAATCGCAAACCATATTTATTGTCTGACAGAAAGTTATTTGACTCAAGATGGGATGTGAGAAATTTGTTTATCTAAGACTCAAAGACCTTGCTAATAACAGAAAGAACACTGATCGAACGATAATTGGAGGGTTCAGAATGTTCACTGAAGTTTTTGAAAGTTGGAACAACAGATGCCACTTTCTAGCAGGCATGAAAACAAGACTCAGTCAAGCACTTGTTAAATAGTTGAGAGAGAATTAAAGAGAGTTCTTGAGGACAACTTTGTAAGACTATGACAAGAATATTGTCTGGACCACAAGCCATAGAAGAGTTTAATTGAGATATGATTTTAGAAATGGAAGCTGGAGTTATTTGAACATCCAACAATGAGGAATATTTATTGGCTTTAGTACATACATCAACTACTTTATAGCCTGCTGCTGCAAGGTAGTGTGCTGCTACATCAATTGTGGGTTTGGCATGGGAAAGCAATCTTTTTCTTTTATTATTCCAATAAATGTTCCTTACGTTTAAAAATTCTCCACTGACGAGGGCGGAGGTGTATTTGATTGAGGTGAGATTAAAACGATGATTTATTATACGCCGTGGATAGAGTACCGATAGTTTTAACTTTTAATAGCGCGTTCATTAGTTCTTAAAGGTCACGTGTAAAAAACAAACGGCCTATATTTTATATACCGCTTTAAATATTTATAAAACATAAATATTTGTAAAGTAGGTTTTAATAATATGTAGCTTATATATAAATTATTACTTTATCAGTAATTCCTTAATTCCATTAACTAAAAAGTAAACATGTTTTCTTTAAAATCATCTTTAAAAGAACATATTTACTTTTAAGTAAAAAAAAAAAAAAAAGCCCATTACATTTTATAATTTAGTATTAATTTTAAAAATTTATAATTACTGGATACAAGGCCGCCGAGAGGGGGCCACCGAGAATGCTTTCCGGGGTAAGCATTTTAAAATAAAAAAACAATTTTAATTTCAACCTAAATAAATCAACTTTAAACTGTTGCAATGAACATTACTAACGACGTTTAAAGTAAGCAAATAATGCAATTTTCAACTTATATACGATACATTAAGCAAATATTCGATAATGGCCAGAATAACTGCCATTTTACAACTGCGAATTTAAACAAAAGTAATTTTAAACAAAGTTAATAAATCGAAAGCTAGCAAATAACGAATGGTTACAAATAAAGCACCGCGGCAGAACATTTAACAATGAAGTTCACCCCTCCTTTGGTACCAATGTCGGGATTGAACCTCGGGCCAAACCGGTATGAAACTTCGGACCTATTGGTTTTTGTTTTTTTTTATTTTAGGTTCTCAAAGAAGCTCTTCTGTCTTAGTACAGAGCACCGCAGAAGAGGATTTAAAAGACAGTTTACGCCTCCTTCTTTACCGATGTTATAAAACTTGCCAAGAGGTGGCGTTGAACAATGGATCTTCTGAGGTGAACATGGAGCTTCTGAGGCGAGCGCGATAACCACTGCGCAATGGTTCTCTTTGGTTTTTTGAAGTCTAGGAATTATTTGGTTGCACTTCGTATGTAAAATCAATTGCGTAATAAAACTGTGAAAATAAGACCGTAAGGACATCTGGAAGCACCTTAATCGCCACACACACATTAAAAAGAAAATAAAAAATATTAATAACCAGGAGAGCACGATGCAAGCTTTTGTTGCTGGATTTCTTTTTTTAAATAAAACTTCTATATAGCATATAAAGCATATATTTAGTCAAAAATAAACACTCTATTGCGCCAATTGCAAATGCAAGTGGCGCAATAGAGTGTTGATTTTTGACTAAATATAAACTAAATATTGACTATATATAGACTTAAAATACGTTTGAGACCCATTCTGATCATCAAGTTGATATCGGCAAAGAAAACAGCGGAAAACTGTGCAGCGCACTGTAAAAAAACATGCAGTTTTCTTGGAAACATTAAGAACCAAAAAAAACAGCATTTCAGTGCAGAATTTTTTTGCATTGATGCTGTAGCACTAATTTAGTTTGTCTACTATTTTAAAATATATGGTTTTTTGTTTATTCATTTTAAAACCTCTTCTCTAACAAAAACTTATTAATCTTTTTCTTATGCAAAATCTTTGCCCTCATTTTTTTTCTCACATTTTGATGTTTGTAACTACAACTTACCCGGACCACCACCGAGTGTACTCATTGATTCTGTTGAAGAAGGCCAGCCACCAAACTGAGATCCACTCAAAAGTGATCCAATGCCACCGTCATTTTCACTTTGAAGGTTCAAGTTTCCCATGCTGTTTTCATTAAGCTCCATACCACCATTGTGATCAAAATTTCCGAACCCATTATCTATATTTCCACTAAAGCTATCCATACCGCGGCCTCCAAACATTCCCATTGTGACAAACTGTTTTTTTTCTCCTGAATGGCCAACATCTAGAAAATAGGGATTACATAAATAGTAAAATTTTATGTTTGACGAGTGAAAATGTATATCTGAATTGTTTTTATTATTTTTTTATTATTTCTAGATTGCCCTTTCCGTTTTAACATTATTGCTAAAAAAATGGTTAATACATACATTGGCTAGCTGTTGCAGAAGATATGCATAGAATAAAAACACATAGAATAAAAACAAAGATCATTGTTTTCATTGATAATCTTCATACCAAACTACGCAGTTTATGTCGGAAATTTAAATCAAACTTTAAAAAAAAACTAAGACACATGTCTCAAATATTTAAAAGTAATATAATTCAATAACAATAATAATAATTAAGATATCACTATCTTGCGCGCATATAATACGGGAGGTATTAGCAGAAAAGTATGCTCAATTATGTTTAATGAAGCGTGCAAAAACTAGCTGCGCTTCGTTGCTCAGAATATAAAAATACCTTACTTCAAAGATAATACATTCTTAAAAGATTGTTGACATATTTCTATTTTTCTTATTTATCTAAGTAAAAGTTATCTGTCAAATGATATTAGCAAAGCTTGCGATGTCCTTTAATTTAATTTTTTAAGTATAGTCAGCATACCGCGGTGATAAAGATGTCATTAAAAACGTTGATAGATTGGTAGTGGTTACCGGTAGATTGGTAATAGCTACCGGTAGATTGGTAGTAGTTATCGGTATCACTATTTATAATAATAAAAAAAAAACAATTTAAAACTTTGTATTTGTAAGTAATTATTAAACTCAATAAAAAATTAATCAACGTTAAAACTAAGATACTTAAAATAAATAATATTAATGCTTAAATACTTATGTATTTTTATAACTAAGTAAAATACTTTTTTGCATGAAACTAACGTTTGGAAGAAGTCAGATTGTAGGACTAAACCATGAAAGGCTTCTAGTAACAGTAGTAATATTTAATTTTTATTAACAATATAGTTAGTAATTTTGGGTTTACTATTGATCTGCATTTCTATTCTTTACCTGTGTAACTAAGTAACTATATTGTGAATTTTTATTCTTGCCTGAAAAAATTTTCTATTAAATTAATAATCGTAGTTTTTAGATTTTTTATTACAATATTTTACCAAATTTACTGTAATATAATAAATTAATTTTGATGTCATGTTTTGGTATTGTTAACACCATGTTGGTGGGGAAAGGAGGAAAGAGGGTTATTGAGTTTTAATTTAAAAATTTGCCAAAAATTGTTTAATCAAAATTACAATCAAAAGGCTGTAAATTAACACCAACTACAAGTGTATTTAGCAATGATTGATTTATTAATGGAAAACGTTGATGATTTGCGGCTTGAATTAATTTGAATAAGGTTAAGAGATTATAGATGGAAAAATGAAGCCTAATATAATAGGAAGCTCTTGAGAAAAAAATTAACAATATTGTAAAATTATTTTAAAAATAATGAGTATTAAACAAAAAAAATCTAAATATATATAAATAAATATATATAATAATCAATATAAATAAGTTAAATGTGATAGTTTTAAATTGCAGGCCTTCTATGCAAATAATAAACAATTGTTAAACCAAAGCTGTTGAAAATTCATTTACTTTTCTTTTATTCATTTGTATCTAAACTTCGTACACGTTGCTTGGTGCAGCACTAATGTATCAAAAATTACAAGCTGCTTATTAAACAAAAACACGTTATAAGATTTATTGAATAAGTGGATCACTTCTAACACAAAATTTATTTTTAATAATTTCAAAACGTATTTCAACTTAATCTTTATCAGATTTTTTTATTTATGTTCAAAATTGATAATAAAATAGCGTCCATTTTATTTAATTTATTTTCTTTCAAAATAAAAAAGGTTTTTAATAAAAAAAAGCATGCAGTTAGAATATTATCTAATGTAGGCCGTTTTACACACTCCAAAGAACTGTTTATAAAGCTGAATATACTCAACGCCTACCAACTAAATATCTATCATCTTTTAATTTTTATGTTCAAAGTTAATACGAAAATAACACTTAATATTTTTAATTATTCACAGTGGCGTAGGAAGATTTTTAAATGCTTGAAATGACCAACTTTTAAACAAAAAGATTGTTCCAAACTTTTGCTTCATTTGTATGACGAAAAGATTCTTTACAAAAAAAAATTATTGTGATAGAAGAATGGGAACAAGAAACTCTAAAGTCTTAGCCCCCCTGCCCCAAACGTGAGAGCAACAAGTTGATGAAATATTTTTTGTACTATTTTTAATTAAATTTATATTTATCGAGTTCAAAAGTTATGACCATATAAAGTTTGTAACCCCCTCAAATTGAGACGAGGAATCTTTTCGTCATACATATGAAGGTAAAAATGTTTGAAACATTCTTTTTGTTTAAAATGTGGTCATTTTCAAGCATTTAAAAACCTTTCACTGTGAATAATTAAAAACATTAAGTGTTATTTTCGTATTAACTTTGAACATAAAAATTAAAAGATTATAAATATTTAGTTGGTTTTATATATATATATATATATATATATATATATATATATATATATATATATATATATATATATATATATATATATATTATATATAAATATACATATATATATGTATATATATATATATATACATATATATATATATATATATATACATATATATATATATACATATATATATATATATATATATATATATATATATATATATATATATATATATATATATATATATAAATGTATATATATATATATACATATATATATATATATATATATATATATATATATATATATATATATATATATATATATATATATATATATATATATATATATATATATTTCGATGAAAGAGTTGTGTTAACGTTAAAATCACGAGAAAGAAAAAAAAGTTATTTAGACATTCAAGTCGAGGAAAAATTCCTTCTATATCATGTAATCATGTTTCAGGTTACTGCAAAGTGAGTTTTTTTGGTTTTATTGATCTTCGTATATTGAAATTTATAATTCAGGTATGAGTTTAAAGTTTTAATATACACAATGTAAGATTACTTGGCATAGTTTGTGTTTATGGCAAAATAATCATTTATTGATTGACTTATTTCAGGCTCGAGATATAACACAGGATAATTTGCTTAAACATCATACAGAATTCTATAGTATTGCAAGTAAAGTATCACAAGATGCTACTATACTGTCAATGCTTAATATAATCAATGTGAAAAGAGTCAGAGTGAAATATAATAATCGAAAAAAGTTAAGAACTATGAGTATTGAGTACTTTTTATGCTGTGAGAGAATTAAAGTACGAGTTTGCTAAGCTTCGTTTTGTTCAGTAATGTGTAAGTATAAAATTATAAAATTGGCAATATAAAATTACTTTACTTTTAATTCAGAAATAAAATATATATTTTGTTAAAAAAAAAATTTGTGAGAAAAAGTTAATATTTTATTAATTTATTCCAGCCATAAAACTTGATAGAGTTTTAAGAATTGCAAGACACTATTATGAACATGGAACAACCAGACCTAAAAATAGAGGAGTAGACAGGAAGAAAGAAGCTATTAAAAACCATATTCAGTCTTTTACTAGCAGAGAAAGTCATTATGGAAGAAAAGGTACTCCAGGATGTAAATATTTGCCCTCTGATTTAAATGTAAAGCGGATGTATGAACTTTTTTTTAGATAAAAACAAAACTTATACTGTAGGCTACCATTATTATTATGGGGTATTTATGAACCATTTCAATTTAGCTTTTGGATACCCAGCAACAGATACATGCTCTACATGTCAAACATATAAGTCGGCTGTGAAAAACCAAAATTTTATGAATGACCAAAAAAAACTAAAAACTGACGATGTTTTTCTGAAAACTGAAAGACAATATTTTTTTGTCTTCTCAGTCTTGTAGGAGTAGAAGGCAGAATACTTACTATGTATAAACATTACTCTGTAATGCCACTGAAGATGATACTAACCTTAGGGAAGAAGATAGTTCATAATTTGATTTAATTGTTTTTTAGTTGTGAATTTTGTAAACATGGTTTAGTTAAAATACAAATATTTAAAAAAATCTCTATCATAACATGATTTATTTTGTTGTTTTTTTAAATTTATGTTATTGAATACAAGAATACAATAGTCATTAACACCTTATATATTTTTATAGTTGCACTTGTGAATTGTTTAAAAAAAGTTGCTTATTTATATCAAAGGAGAACAAGATTTTAAGGTAGATCTTAGAACACATAACAAAACAATATGTTTCATTAATAAATATATTTTATTAACGAAATGGATATAAAGTGTTTTGTTAATAAATAAAACTTGGATATACAGCGTTTTAAAACAAAACAAAAATAACCACTGAAAATATACATCGATTTCATAAAGTTTGATTTCAGCATATATTGTAGTCTTATTAATAAAGTACATGTTTAACTAAATCAATAATAACTTATTCCAAAATACTTAATTTCTTTATGCAGGAGAAAAGTTCGATTTACTGAAAACCCAAAAAATGGATTTACAGCGTTTTGAAAATGAGCTCTTCATATATTAGGGTGATGCAAAATTTTTAGATTCAAAACTTTGGTTGTCCTCAAACTTGCTCTTTTTCTATATGACAATAGTAATTTTTGGGCGAAATTTAGAGCAAATTGGATAATATTTAGGGGTTGTCATGTTTTGTCACACTTTTGTTGTAAGGTGAAAACAAATTTAATTTATTATTTTATATTTATTTTTTATTTATTTAATCAGCATTTTCTTTGCCATTCTTTAAAATTAGATCGAATCGTTCTGCAATGCGTTGTGTGATAAAAGAAGACAATGGACTATAACAATCGAATGTAGCAGCATCAAGTCTTTTGAGGAAATTCTGTCTTGGCTGCTGTTTTTTGGTTGTTTGCCATGTCTTTATTGATGTTCGTGTTGACATAGGTATTAAAGAAAGCCAATACTCCTAAATGTTCAGAAAAATATCAGAAGTGGCGATGAAAAGCTTTTGCTGCAGTAGTTTCAATTGGATATTTTTGATTTTATTTGAAATGCTTGAAAGGTTTGACATAGTTGAATGGATCTTATTTAGCTAACTGTCCGTATATAAATGCAACAAAAAGACTTAAAGCTGTTATTACTTTTTTTTTTTTTTTGCAGTAATAACAAATTGATCCTGAAACAAAATATATTTTTAGACAGTATATAGCTTTGACCATCCAACATGTATTATGTGTTGCACTTGGAGCCCGTAACTTTACATTAAACTCTGATGTTGTAGTTGATCTTCCAAAACAAATAAGGCACAAATTAAAGAGTTTTTAGTATTCATCCATAGGTTGTTAACCTATAAATTGCTTCACTATAGTATACTAACATTTATTCACGAAGTTTGATACAAAAATCACAATTAAAAAGTTCTTCATTCAATCGGTTTTCAATCTTCATTGGCTCTCATACAAACATCAAACTGTTGCTCACCCGTACCTCAAACAATCTTTGGAATGCCCAGCAGTTTTTCTACTCCACCACCAGTCAGGAGGATGGCAATTCTATCGTCTTTTTGTTGACCACCTGTCACATCAGGTAAGAGATTTCTATCCCAATTCAAAAAAAGCAAATTGTTAGGAGAAAAATTGACTTTGTCATCCGTAGTCACCGTTTCACGAACCAATAGCCTTGTTATACGGATTGTGTTGTTCGACAATGATAAATCTTATAATGAGTGACCTGAGAAAACCACACAAAGTGCACAAAGATCAAAAATATTAACCCAATCAAGAGATGGTACAACATATCTGATAAAGCCTTTATTTCCTGTTTTGTTGAACCACATCGTTATCCAAAAACTAGAGCTTCTTGCACTCACAATGTCAACTGCTGATGAAGAAAGAACAAGTTCAGTTTTTTACATCAATTAGGCTTTACTTCTTTGATGCCTCGTTTTCATTGTAGTTTCTTGAACTTGTTTTCGCACTATCAATTCTTTGAGTTGGTATTTTTCCTGTCTCCCGTATAATAAGAACTTCTTCAATAGTTGCAAAAACCTTTTTTTATTTCTTGTTTCTCTTCTACATGTCGGAAAAGCATTCAATTTATATTAATAGAAATTTCTATTCATTATTATTTAATTAGTATATTAATAACAACAACAACAACAACAACAACAACAACAACAACAACAACAACAACAACAACAAGTTATTTATTTTCCATTTTAAAATCATTTTTACAATAATAAGGTAAATAATAATAACAATAATTATAAAATAATAAGCAATAGTAATAATTTATAACAATAATAATAATAACAACAAAGAAATTATAAATAATAATAATTACTATAATAATAAGTAAAATGATATGTTACTTCTTATTATATTAAGTTAATGATTTTGTATAGATGGTGTCACTCATACAGAAGTCTGATCAAAGGAGTGACACCATTTTTCAAAATAATATGACTAATAATAAACATATAGACATAAAACATAAAACATAGACACAAATAAAGTAAACTTTTTAAAAATCATATATGTAGGTAATAATAAAAGAGAAAAGAAAAACAAACAAAAAATAAGGATAATTATTA